TTTTTTATTTTTACTTTATTTATTTTTTATTTTTACTTTATTTATTTTTAGATATTGCACATTTTCATTTGAATAGTCTGTCATTCCTTACATCTGTATGTCCTGATACCACTCAAGTACACCAAGAGCTAACTTGTAAGGGGCATTACCAGTGCCTTTAAAATACCTGGGTTTTATTCAATAATAAAAAAAATGTGTTTATATAGATATCCAAATTATATTTTTTTCTCTTTTTCTGTTATTGTACACCTAAGCATTGACAGGTGCCATATCTATCAAAAACCCAGAGAGACAACTGCTTCTCCTGTCGGTTCTTCACTTCACCAGCTTAAAGAGCTTTAATAGCTTATACATGAAGATTTTCCCTTTTAGAACATACAGAGGATATCCTTCACTGTGTGTCTGTGATATGCTTAAGATCATGACCTAGATGAAAAAGAGTTCTATGATGGAAACCCTAACCAAAATAGTCAAGTAAAGTTTCCTCATTTCAGCCCTCATGATATTTTTATGGATCAGTCACTGATACAATGTTTTGTTTAACAGGTTCTGCTTTAGATTTGCATTTTAATGATGTGAATGTCACATCTGTAGATAGAGAATTAGAAGATCAAGAAGGCAGTGACCTTGGATTAGCAAGTAAGTGGTCCATTTTTTTAAATCATACTAATCTTGAGGAGAGGCTGAGGGAGCTGGGGGTGTTCAGCCTGGAGAAGAGGAGGCTCAGGGGAGAACTTATCCCCCTCTGCAACTCCCTGACAGGAGGTTGGAGTCAGGTGGGGGTTGGTCTCTTCTCCCAGGCAACCAGCAGCAGGACAAGGGGGCACAGACTAGATGTGGCACTTAGTCTAGTAACCACGGTAGGGTTGGACTCAGTGATCTTGGAGGTCTTTTCCAACCTGGTAGATTCTGTGGTTCTACAATTCTCTGCAGAGCTGGTCTCCAGCAGGTCAGCTCCAACCTGTACTGGTGCCTGGGGTTATTCTTCCCGAGGTACAGGACCTACATTTGCCTTTATTGAACTTCAGGCAGTTCTGTCCATCTCTCCAGCCTGTCAAGGTCCTTCTGAAGGGCTGCACAGTACTCAAATAATATTTCCATTTATTTTCTGATACCTGTTTTGATAGCATTTCTTTGAAGGAGGTCTGTGGTGATTTTGAAGTTGGTTGTTCATATATGTTAAGCTCCTACTTTTGCAAACAGAACTGTGTTCTTGGATGGCAGACATGCCTTGTGACTCTAGATGCAAAGAACAAAACAACTATAGCTATGCCACAGTTTGTTGCTGCTGACTGTTGCTCCCAGAAAAAAACCTTGCACTTAGTGTCTGTGTACATTATACAATTTTTCCTCATATAATTATTATATCTTCTGTCCACTGGCTTTAATAAAGGTACAGATATGTTTGATGTTCTTGGAGTATGTAAGCTGTCACTGGAACCACAGTGGATTGGATAGTGCCCAAGTATTACAAATTCAAGATTTTGTTATGAGACATGGAAATCATTTTGACCCAGGTGAACTCTCTCAGGAAAGCATATATTATAAGCACTTGTAAGTTGTTTCTTTTCAGAAATAACACAGATGTTCAGAGAGATTCTGCTTCAAAGTTTTCCTCTTCCAAGTGCTTCCTTTGTGGTGAAAGGGGACAGTTCTAGGCAAGATCACTAATTTTGTCACCCCAGGAATGTATGGATACATGAAGCTGCAGGGCAAACAGAATTTAGGAAAGTCACTTGCTTTGAAATGTACTTTTTCACTCATCAGCTCATTCATTTGTAGGTGGGCAAAGGTGCCTCTCAAAGTGACTGGTGCTTCTCTTTAGGTCTGAGCTGAGCATTTGGGGAGGTGGTTTACAATTCACATTGACATTTTGGCATCAGGTAGATCTAGGCAGATTGTAGAAGTGGCTTCATCATTGGTGGCAAGAGCTGGAAGAAACCAGTGCTGAATTGCCCTAATCAAGAAATTTCCTACACTAAATACTAATTGTGTCCCTCCCACCTTGATTTTGTTTTCTCCCAAAGTGGGTATTTGTTGCTACAGGCTGTATTTGTGGTACCTGTATACTTTGGGTTATTAGGGGATTCGGACAGAATGAGCCAAACTGTTACAGTCTCAGCAAGTACTCATCTAGTTTTATGAAGGTTTTTGTCAATAGTACTAGTGGGAATATCTTCAGAGGTTTTAGGGCTTTATATTCATTTTGGTTGCTTTCTATATTACAATTCTCTGTCCAGTTGTGATGTAACAGGTTGTTGCTTCACCAGAGCAGTTTATATTATCTATTAGTGTATTCCACTGTTGTTCATATTTCCCTTCATACACACCTGGAAAGAAACTGATAATGTGTGCAATTTCAAGTGTTTGTCTCTCCTAGTGATATCAGGCTCAACAATTCTCCTGATGCTATAGTTTCTTTGACTGGTGTTTCATTTGCTGTCTTGTTCTGTGCTCCAGGAATGATTATGCTTCATTGGAGGTACCATAAAGTATGGAACATACTGTAACCAATTTTATGTGTATGTAGAGGATAGTTCATGCAGTAAAATTGGTTGAACTTGGTGGGTAGGCAGACACCTCTCTAGCTGCTCTCTCACTCCACCTTATCAACAGGTCAGGGGGAGAAAGTGAAATATAAAAGCCTGTGAAGATAAAGACAGGGAGATGACTTGGTGGTTGCTGTCCTGGGCAGAACAGATTTGATTCGGGGAAAATTAATTTCTTGTCAGTTAAAATAGAGTTGGATGTTGAAAAGCAAAGATAAAAGCTAAACCAACCATCCACTACCTTTTCCTCTGGTTTGGCTTCATTCCTGACTCTTCCACCTGTCCATTCCCTTCCTGAGCAGCACAAGGCTGTGGGGAATGGGGGTAGCGAGCAGCTGATGATGGTTTCTCTCTGCTGCTGCTCCTCCTCAGATGTGTCCCTGCTCCCACAAGGGGCCTCTCCACAGGCTGCAGTTCCTGGAAGAAGCCCCTGAGTCAAGCAGGGGCTCTCCATGGGCTGCAGTCCCTTCAGGCAATATCCACCTGCTCCAGCCTCGTCCTGTCCACAGGCACAGGAAAATTTCTGCTCGTGCCATAGTCTCTTCCATAAGGTGCAGGGAATTACCTGCTGCACTGTGCTCTCCAAACCTTCCACGAACTGCAGGGGAATCTCTGCTCCAGTGGCTGGAGCACCTCCTCCCCTTCCTTCTGTTTGTCACATGATTTTTCACACCTTTTTCCCCCCTCCTCCTCTGCCTGGACAGACTGGGTTGGCTAAAATTCTGCTGCATTTGAACATTTTCTGGGAAAAATTGCATGACTGAACATCATTTTTTAAATACCTGGTTTTTATTATTATCATTATTTTGGGAAATTATGAACAATGTGGGTTTTTTTCCAGAATTATGGTTTACTTTTAATTTGTTTCAAATCCAGTTTTCATGGAGAGTTAAGTACATTTGACAGTTAAAATCTACTGAACAAATGCAAAAGAGTAGAGGAAAGAAACTGTGCTACATCTGATGCTGTGTCTGATTTTCAGTGTGTGTGCTCTCACTTGCTTAACTCTAGTTTATGCACTAAAATAAACCTCAAATTTTTCTTAATCCTTTAATTTTCAGTCAGTTTCTTCACTTGTTTATTTGTTGGCTGTAAGGTTGAATAACTTGATCTGAAAAGTCTTTTCTCTTTCATTGTAGCTGCAGATGAGGCCACTGCTGTGTAAAGCTACAAATTCTGTTTTCAGGCACTTGGAAAACTAATTTCAAGTGTTCCAATAAAAAAAATATTTTTGCAATAGGAGATAAATAAAGTTTTCTTTTTTAATGGAAAGTATTTGAATATGTAATTTAATTTGCATTTTTCAGAAGATTGCTCTGAGAGAGCTGTGTACTGCTTTGAAACAAATGTATTTTTTTTCCTTCTCGTTCATACATAGGTCCAAGATTACTGGGAAGTTCAGCACCTGTCAATATTCCAGGTTCTCTCGTTCGTTCCTCATCTTTACATTCATCATCATCCCTTTCAACCTCTCCACTCAGTTCTCTTTCACAATCACTGTCTCAGTCTTTTGTTTCATCCACGACGGCTCCTCACCACCAGCAGCCTCTGAAGGCAGAACATAGTATGTTAGGCACCTCAGCCTCTTCTCACAACTCTTTGGGTAAGTAAGTTGAAAGCTGCACTTGGTGTATTGGAGGAGGGAACTCAGTGACAGCTAAGAAATGTTCAAACCAAGGCTTTGCATCTTTCTTAGGACTTGATCTGGCAGCAAAGCCTGGGTGCTGTGGTTGGTAACACCACTGCTAATGGAGTCATGGGTGGTGTGGGGAGAGAGCTGAAGGACTGAACTTCCACTCCTAGTGAAGGGGAAAAAGGGAATTATTGTAAGAGGAGATACAGAGGCATTTGAAAGGGGGAAAAATAGAACAGTTATATACAGCTCTAAATACTGTATATACGTAATATATACAGCTCTATATACTAAATACGTAAACATTTTCCAGAATGTCACTTCTCTGAAGGTAGTGAATCTTGCAGATAAGAGTATAAATTTTGTGTATCTGGCACATCTGGTTTGTTCTGCATGTGAAACATTTTACAGCAATGTGTGTGGGATGATTTTTTTTTCTGCATTTGTTTTACAGGTTTAAATGGTGTTACAGGGAGCATTTGGGACTTTGTAACTGGGAGTTTCTCTCCTAGTCCATCCTCAGTACTAAGCAGTGGCACGATCCCCTCAGTAAGTTCAAGCAGCAGTGGGAACGAGCTAACTCGAGTGAGGCAGGAACTTGATGATGCCAAGAGAAAACTAAAACAATGGGAAGAATCTTGGCAGCAAATAAAACAGGTATGCTAAGTTATGGTCATTTTTTTTAAACAAGCAAGCAGCTCCTGCTACTTTTTTATATCTTCTTATCCTTGGAGTCAGTTTTATTGCAGCCTGTCAAAGGAATGTTTTTTCCATTCTCCAAATGAGCTAGTGGTGTAAAGTAAACTGAACTGTTTAAAGGGCAGTTAGCTTTCTAAAAGCTGGTCTGCCTCTGTAGACAGGGCCACTAACACATACTCAGGTTAGGGCTGAACAGGAACATATCTTGATGTTTAAGTAACTAAAGACATACCTCTGTACCTCTCTGTACCTCTCTGTACCTCTTTCAGATGATAAGCACATTAGAAAATTAGAACCTTGCCTGCAGTTGGATAGTCTACCTGGTCAGTGTCCTGCAGTCTCAGCAGTCAGACAGAGGTTCATAGAATCCTAGAATCCTAGAATTGTTTGGGTTGGAAGGGACCTGAAAAATCATCTAGTTCCAACCCCTTCCTGCCATGAACAGGGACACATTCCACTAGACCAGGTTACTGCAAGCCCCATCCAACCTGGCCTTGAACACTTCCAGGGATTCTTCTTCCACAGCTTCCCTGGCAACCTCCAGTGCCTCAGCACCCTCACAGTGAAGAATTTCTTCCCAATATTTAATATAAACTAAATCTCTTTCAGTTTAAAGTCATTACTCCTTGGTCTGTCACTGCATGCCCTTGTATCGAGTCCCTCTCCAAATCTCTTGTAACCCCTTCAGGTACTTGAAGGCCACAGTAAGGTCACCCTGGAGCCTTCTCTAGGGTGAATAACCCCAACTCTCTCATCCTGCCTCCATAGCAGAGGTTATTCCATCCCTCTAATCATCTTCTTGACCTCTTCTGGACTCACTCCAACAGGTCCATGTCCTTGCGCTGAGGGCCCCAGAACTGGACACCATACTCAGGTGGGGTCTCAAAGAGCAGAGTAGAGAGGTAGAGTCCCTTCCCTTGGCCTGCTGGGGATGCAGCTTTCTGGGCTGCTGCACACATTGCTGGGTCAGACCCAGCTTTTTATCCACCAGCATCCCCAAGTCCTTCTTGGCAGGGCTGCTCTCAATCCATTTGTCCCCCAGTCTATATTGACACTGGGGGTTGCCCTGCAGGTTTTTAACTGCCAGTGTAGTGCATTTTTTGTAGTTCTTTCCTTCCCCTCGTGTTGTTCTCTTTGTGACAAGGAGTAGCTAAGTAGTTGAGCTAAATGTCAATAATTTTTGATGTCTCTTGACATGAAATTATGAATTTAAGACGTAAAATGTGTTCTGTTTACAGACAAGTAGGTGACATTACTAAAAATTACATTATGACAAACTAAGAGTTGTAAATTAGAAGGTAAGGTAAGTAGGGAGAAGCTTTAAATGGACAGCAAATGCATTGTTATGTCTAAAATCAGAGATTACCTGTGTCTTTGAAGACTTTTGAATTGGCTCTTGTGTTGTTAAATAAAATAAATGGTGTTGATATTCTGGAAATTTTCTCCCAGGCTTGTGATGCGTGGCAGAAAGAGGCACAGGAGGCAAAAGAACGTGCTGACATGGCAGATGCTGACAGACAACTTGCTCTTCAGAAGAAAGAGGAAGTGGAAAATACATTTAAAAAGCTGAAGGTGCAATTAGCTGCTTGTCTATCTACTACATTGCCATATATGAAAAACTATGGAGATATTGAAAAGATATCCTTGCCAAAGCTCCGTTCCCTACAGAATCGGCTGCACGTAGATCTAGATACAATAGATGAGGTGAGTTTCTTCTGCATAACTATTTTTGGTCAACTGAAACTGGCAGCTCAGAACAAATTGCAAGTGATACACGAGAATCCTTGGGGTAATTAAAAGAAAAGATTTCAAGCTAGCCTGTATTGTCAACATTTTAGGCACTGCCTAAATAAATAAAAATAGCAGTCCTATATACATGAAAAGTTACACACTTTTCGCTTGTTTAGAAGGTAGACAGTGAGGTTCCCTGCTAGGATTTGATGTTAGAGTGGCCAGTACAGACTCAGAGCATAGAATGGTTGACATTAAAAGGGACCTCTGGAGATCATTTGGTCCAACCCCTAGCTCAAAGCCGTGTCAGCCTGAGCAAGTTGCTCAGGGCCTTGCCCAGTAATGTTTTGAGTATCTCCAAGGATGGGCAGTCCACCACCACCAGTGTTTGACAGTCCTCAAAGTAAGAAAAGTTTTGTTCTTATGTCTAGGTGCAATTTTTTTATTTTTATTTGTGCCTGTTGCCTCTTCTTTCACTGGATACCACCAAGAAGAGTCTGACCTTATCTGTTTTACTCCCTCCCATCAGATATTTGTACAGATGCTATCTCTTCTTAAGGCTAAACAGTCTCAGCTCTTTTTCAGCCTCTCTTTGTACATCAAATGTTTCAGTCCCTTAATCACCTTAGTGGCATTTTGCTCTATTTTACCTTCTTTCAAATCCAGACTCAGTTTCTGCCAAATTTTAGAATGCTCTCTCATTACAGGATTGAGGGCATTTCTCAGGGCTCTCAAAGCTAGGAATATCAGGTACCACTCTGAGCACATCAAGGACAATCATAATGTCCATACACTGCTTCAGGCACCATACGTCAAACCTTGATGGGCACATCTTGGTTTCATGTTGCTTTCTTCCCTGCAGTCTCAAAGGGCGGTGACACCACATATGATACCAATTCTCGCTGATTTGGTTTGATTTTTTTGCTTCTGTCCAGACAAAAGTACTGTGACAGTCTGCCAGACTCTAGTACCTGTTTGAGTTCAGCAGTGTTTATCAGGGCACCTTCTTTCTGGGCAGTGCTGTCTGTATCAGTATGAACTGCAGCCTTGACAAAAAACAAAGCCAGTCTCTCTTCAGAGGAGTTTAAAACATAATTTAAGTCTTTGTCAATGTTGTGGTTTAACCCTAGCCAACAGCCCAGAACCACACAGCCACTCACACACTACCCCATCAACGGGATGGGGGAGAGAATTGGAAGGGTAAGAGCTAGAAAAGCCAAGCAAAGCAAAACAAGGAATTAATTCACTGCTTCCCACAGGCAGGAGGGGTTCAGCACCTCCAGGAGAGCAGGGACCATCACACATAATGGTTCCTTGGGAAGACAAATGCCATCACTCCAGATGTCCCCCCTTCCTTCTTCTTCCTCCCACCTTATATACTGAGCATGATGTCCTATGGTATAGAATATCCCTTTGGTCAGTTGGGGTCACCTGTCCCAGCTGTGTCTCCTCCCAATCTCCCACACACCCCCAACTCCCTTGCCAGTGTGGCAGTACAGAAAACAGCAAAGGCTTTGACTCTGTGTGAGCTCTGCTCAGCAACAACAAACACATCTCTGCATTATCACCCTGTGCCCTGCACAAATCCTAAACATAGCCCCATACGAGCCACTGGGAAGAAAGTTAACTCCACTTCAGCCCAAACCAGCACAGGCAATAAAGAAAGTGGACAAGGATGAGACTTGCTAGCTACCAGGCTCCTGTTATGAAGTTCATAATTCTGGATTGGCTTAGGGACCACTATTGGTTTTACTCCTATAGGATTTTAAAGAGGAGCAAAAGTGTCTTGGGATCTTGTACTGAAAAAGTTATTATGTCCTGCAATCGAAGTCATCTCAGCCAGGCTGGAGTGATCAAAAGCACTACAACTTTTTCTAGCTCCTCAGTTTCTCAGGTTTCCTTTACCTCTGTGGACTCTTCTCACCTAGCTCTTCCTTCCAGAAAAAAGCTGCTGGGTTAGGCAGTGCCACACAGTGTTCTGGGTTCTCTTAGCCCAAACCATATCTTGCCCTGCAAGAATTAGCAAAGCTTTTAGATGCTTATTAGTTACTCATGTTCCTTAGTAGGGTTGATATGGCTTATTGCATGGAGATGTTCATTTGCAGTTGTAACATCCTCCACAAAGTCTGCATCAGTAGATTTGTTCAAAGTATTTGGGATGCTTCTGTTTTGACCCAGTGAGAACATCTCCCAGAGCATGAGAAGGTGTAGCAGTGGTTTGAAATGGCAAAACGAGGGAGTAAATGACAATGAAAAGGGCTTATCTCCTCTTTCTTTATTTGTTTTTGTCACTCATCCCAGTTATGCAGGAAAATTTCAGTCTAGAGGTTCAATCCTAAAAGCTGCACTACTTCAAAACTTGCATGTGCTCTGGTCTTCTGAGCCTCAATTCAACTATCTGTCACAGAACAACATTGTCCTTTGTGCTGTTAACTTAGAATTTCATTCAGGACAGCTACACATAGAACACAGCTATATACTTTGAGATCATTTTTTTACTGAGTGCAATAATCTTTTTACAGGTAATTTTTCAGCTTCAGTCAAAGAAGTGTCTTGTTTGTCAGGAAGGTGATTGTAGCATTCTCCTGAACCCGTGTCAACATTATGTACTTTGTGATCCCTGTGCAGCTGCACAAGAAGAATGTCCCTGCTGCAAGAAGAAGAAAAGTCTGTGGTAACATACAAGCATAGTCCTCCTATCGTGTTCACCAGTTCAATGATTTTATGCTTTTGTATTTTGTATAAGAATTATATCACTCATAATTCAATAGTGCTAGACAGATTGCCATTTTGATGTAAGAAACTCAGTTGCTTTAAGATAGAATAAGGCTTGCTCACCTTTATGTCTCAGTTCCAGTCATTTGATGAGGTTCTTTCATGCCCCCCTGATCCCACTGCAGCCTTTTCTGGTTTCCATTTACATTCCCAGTGCTCAAACTACTTCAGTTCATTTGCACTGTAATCACTTTGTATAAATCTTACCCCAGTGTCTGAATGAAGTGTTTATACTTGTCATTTCATGAAGGGAAGATGGACATGTGGACACAGTAACTACACACTCTGCCACGTCTGTGAGGTTTGAAATGCTAGAGCCAGTCCTTTGTAACTGGTCTGACACTATGTTTACTTGATGTTTGAAAAACTCTGATTATAAGAGCACTTTTTAATTATTGTGTTTTGTTAGAAGAGATGTTGTAAATTGCTTCAAATTGCTTTTTAGTCCCATGTTTATTTTTTAATGTGCAATAATAGGACATGTTATATGTGTACTGTGAGTTTAAAGTACTTCACATGGTTTTCCTGTTAAATCACAGTATGGTTAGACAGAAATGACATCTAGAGTTGTTTGAGGTTTTTTTACAGTTTATAAGGTAACTGCATATTGTAGTATTTATAAATGTACCAGTGGAAACAAAACCAGTGAGACACATATGCTTTCCTATTCTAACATGTTTATGTCTTCAGTTTTGTGAAACAGAGAAGTTTTAGTAAACAACTGTGCATTTGTACATTTCCCTCAGTATGGATGTTTGTAGTCTAAAAGTTTTTGTACATCTCTCAGCCTGTGTGGCACTCATTGGGAACAGATAGGATATATATTGTATTACCAAGTGCCTATGCCCAATGTCCTATAAAAAGGCAGAAGACATAAAAAAAGAATTTTTCAAGTAATTTCTATTCCTTACTTTTGTATCGAATTATTTGACAATAGCTAGAATGTTTCTTGTTTTTATAAATATTTCAAAATGCACTTTTTTCAATAATGAAGCAATGCATGTTTGACAGGAACTGCAAAATCATTTCAGTGTGTGATCAGGCAGTGAGACTTTGATAGGGGATTCTTCTGAAGAGTGGTAGTATCCTTACTTCATCCTGGGAGTTGGGAACATGCAGTTCAAGAGGAGAAGTTAACCAACATGGTAACACTGCATTTTTAATTTTCTTACATGGAATACTTGCCTGCATTACTCCAGTTTTTGTTAAATTCACTAGTACAACTTAGATTGAAATGATTGTTACTGTGTTACATGATTTGTGTCTCATTACTGTGTTGAGGACAAAAAAAAGGAGCTCGCACAGGCAGCAAATCTGTTGAAAGTTCAGTCATGCTAAAACAAAACCCAAGATGTATAGTGAAAAAATTGCTGTCAAAATAAAGCTTTTAGAACTGTATCAGCATTCAATAAAGGGCCCGAGCCAACAGCACTGAAATCACCATCTCCTCTGGGTTTTAGCATTCTTTGTACAGAGGCTGAGCTTGCAAAAACCAAAAATCATTACACATATCATGTAAGAACTAAACATACAGACTTTCTTATATACATACATATAAATATACACTGCTTTCTTGGGCCATATCAATCTGCAGGAACGTTGGAGGCCTTTTGGGAATGGAGAAGCAGGATAAACTATGAAATAATTTCTCAATGCTTCTGTTTCAAATTTTTGGCTGAAGATCAATCAGTTTAAAGACCAAAGTGAAGGTTAGTAGTGTGATTTTGTTGACTTTAACAGTTTCTTTCAAACATTTTTGCTAAGAAAAGTATAAAATTGGACTACATTTGCACAGCCTTCGCTGTTGTGAAATAAGATACTGAGGGTTTAAAGGTGTAGCCAGTGTTGGACTTCTAAAGAAAGGAAGTTGGATCACCACATTTGGCTGTAGGTACTAATGTATTTTTTGTGGCTGTGCAGTCTATGATAAAGACTGATTTTTGAACCTTAACAGCATTTTGGACTAAAGCAAACTTGGTTATATAAGGGTTGGTTTTGATTTTGTTTTGTTTGGGGTTTGATTTTTTGTTTTGTTGGTTTCAGTGCAGATGATAACCTGTCCAGTAAGGAATAAAGGCAGGAATACCTCTCTGTCCTGGCACCTCTGCAGTGGGAGCAATTCTCAAACGTATTCAGTTTTGGAGGTGGTCCCAGAATTGCAGTTTTTCTTTCCTGAAAGTGTTTGAAAGTGCTCTCCACTTGGAATGAAAGCTCTCAGCCCCAGTCCTTCGGGTGCAGATGATAGACTTCCCAGTAAGGAATAAAGGCAGGAATAACTTTCTGTCCTGCCACCTCTGGTGTGGGAGCAATCCTCAAATGTATTCAGTTTTGGAGGTCATACTGGAATTTTGGCAGTGGGCTTTTGGGCAGGTTTGAAGTAGCTTTCCACTTAGAAGGAAAGCCTGTAGAGCCAGAGTTTCAGGTGCACATGATAGGCTTCCCAGTATGGAATAACAGCACGAATACTTGTTTGCTTGCGCACCTCTTGTTTTTTTTTTTCCTCAAACATACTCAGTTTTGGAGGTTGTCTCAGTTTTAAAAGGTTCAGTAAAAAAGAGGCTGCAAGGAGAAGGAGCAGTGCAGAAACTGCCTCTGTCCTGCACTTATTTCTGTGCTGGAGACACACAGACACTCAGGACTCTGCGAGACTGAAACTGTTTCTGTTCTGAGTGTGTACGCACTTTCAGTGTAGCCTGAAATCTGTGTCAGAAGGAGAAGGAAATTGCTGATCACCGTGGTCTGTCTGCAATACACAGGCCCAAAGGGGAGGTGAAAGCACCAGGTTGTTTTTACTGGACCTTTTGTCTGGGAGCTGCTGCTGGAGGGTTTAATGTATGGGGCAATGGTCTGAGGAGTGAAAAAGTGTGTGGTTATAATAGCTGCCAAGGAAAGTGCAGCCCCACAGTGTGTGGCAACTAGCTGAAAAGCTGCAAGGAGAAAGGCTAATCCAGCAAGTCTTTTTGCCCTAGCACATTTTTCTCTGTGAGAAGTGTATTTGTCTCTGCGAGATGGTAGTTGAGCTGAGAAGGAATGTTCTGAGCACTGCAGTGTGTGTGCAGTTTACAGGCTGCAAAGGAAAGAGAATGCCAGTGCTAGGCCTTTGTTTTTAGCCATTTTTGTTGGAGCAGCTGCTGGAGGTTTTAAGGTTTGAAACTGTGATCTGTGAGAGTTCAGTAATAAGCTTATATATATATCTGATAAGGACCATTCGTAGTCCCAGTGTGTTGTGTGTAGTTGTCCCAGCATGTTTGTCTCTGTGAGAGGCAAGTCCTGAAGTGCAGCATAGTACACACAGAGCACTCAGTGCATTGCAGTTTACAGGCTGCAAAGGAAGGAGAATGCCAGTGCTGGAGCTTTGGGTTTTTGTCCTTTGTTGTACTGGGAGTCCCTAGGATCACCCTGAGGTCTGGGCACTTGTGCAGGACATTGAAAGATGTCCAAGAGTGTAACAATGTGCTGGTACATGTAGCTGATCAAACACACATAGCTCTCATGTGCTGGCTGTAGTTGAAAGGCTTTGATGAGAAGGGGTAATGTAGAATCTGCCTCTGTCCTGGCACATATTTCTGTGTGAGACGTTGATGGAAGGTTTGGACTCTGTGAGACTGAGACTGGGTCTGTACTGAGGGATGTGTGTTGAAAGAAGGAACTAGCCTGTGACTGTCTGAAATACAGAGCAGCAAGAGGACAGTGAATAGTTGTTTTTTCAGGACCTTTTGTATGGGAGCTGCTGCATGTTGTAACCCTTTGAACTGCAGCAAAGCCCCTGGAGCTGTTCATTTTCCTGCTCAGCTGCAGAGACCGAGAGAGTTCTTTTTGTCTTGCTGAGCTTGGCTTCAAAACTTACAAGGTTCAGCAACTGCTGTGCTTCCCAAGGTGTTAGAACAAAGAGGGAGTGGTGCTTTTGCTTTCCCCTTGCAGCTTCTAAACAGAGCACAGACAGGTCTGGGGGCTTTGCTGCTCTGCACATCTCGTTCTGCCTCGCAGGTATCTGTTCCAGCCAAGGCTGTATGTACATCACCTTTCCTTTGCAGCCTATAACCTGCGAGTGACTTACCCCCTGCCATGAGCAGCATCCCTCCCGCAGAGCCAGGAGCCCCTGCCCTTGCTGGTCCCACACCGACGGGCCAGGACTGGGAGCTCTGCACACCAGATGGCAGTGCGTCCTTGCGAAAGAAGCAAAGCTACAGTGACTCTGAACAAAGCAAAGTGCAGCTTCAAAGTTGAAAACGTCTTGCAGCTCCCCTCAAACAAAACGTGTTGGACCGCTGAGCTTCCCCTTCCATTTGCAAACTTGTATTATCACCACGATGAACGGCAAGGCACCTTCCCTTGCAGCCTGGATATTGCACACAGAGCACAGCCACAGGCACTTCCCTTCTCTGCTCTACACACCATCCTTTCCTTTCCATGGAGTAGAAAGCCTCCAGCAACCACTCACACAGCCAGACAGAAACAGTTTCTGCATTATCCTTTCTCCTCATTGCCCATCAATGACACACAACACATCAGGACTGTGCATGTTCCCTGTCAGATATATATATATAAGCACATTATTGCACTCTTGCACATCACAGGTTCAAACCTTAAAACCTCCAGCAGCTGCTTGAACAAAAATGGCTAAAAACAAAGGCGTAGCACTGGCATTCTCTTTCCTTTGCAGCCTGCACTCCGATGCTCGGAACATTCCTTCTCAGCTCTGTACTGTGTTTTCCTAGAGTGGAAGACAGCACAAACACACAAGTTCATTGCCTTAGTCACACGATTTTTCTCTCTGTATCTGCCACTTTGGTTAACAATTATATTTTGCCTGAATCAATGGTAAGAACTACTCAGAGTTCTGTGATTCACCTCTCTACATGCTTTTCATGCTGCAAGGAAGTAGCAGGGAGAAATGCT